CTGGTGACATCACAGGGCTGGAAATGGGGCTCTGCAGGGCCCCCCGCTTCCTGCAGCTCCTGCTCCAGGGCCCGCCCCATGGCCCCTGCAAGGGAAAGGGGGCTAGGGAGCACAGACACCAAACATGGGGTGGGGAGACTATCCAGGAAAGGGGGGGAACCGGTTCTGGCATGTCCCCAGGGAGCCCGGGAGCCCTACAGGCAGGCGCGGCTCTGGTCAGGTGGGAGCAGCCCCCGCCTGTGCCCCCTTTAATCGTTTAACTGGTTAAACATAAGGTTTTACCAGTTAACCAATTAAACGGGATTTTACGTCCCTCACCCCCAGAAACACAGGGAGCCATCTCTCACCTTCAGCTTGGGGGGCACAGAAGACCACATTGGCTCCCTGCCGAACTGGGGGGGAGGGGACAAAGCGGGGTGCAACAGGGGATGGAGAAGCACATGGGGGAGGGAGATGAGAGAATCAAGTTAGCAGTAAAAACACCAGCACCAGTAAATCCCCAAGCGCTGCGAGCTTCCCCATAGCAGTGCCCCTAGACAGGAACTTCCCCCTGGTGCTGCGAGCTTCCCCATAGCAGTGCCCCCAGACCGGGACACACACAGAGCAACGTGAACTTCCCCCCAGCAGTGCCCCCAGACAGGGACCCGCCCCCCCTTCACCCAGGAATGTGAACTTCCCCCCAGCAGTGCCCCTAGATGGGAACTTCCCCCTGGTGCTGCGAGCTTCCCCCCAGCAGTGCCCCCAGACAGGGACACGCCCCCCTTCACCCAGGAATGTGAACTTCCCCCCAGCAGTGCCCCTAGATGGGAACTTCCCCCTGGTGCTGCGAGCTTCCCCCCAGCAGTGCCCCCAGACAGGGACACGCCCCCCTTCACCCAGGAATGTGAACTTCCCCCCAGCAGTGCCCCTAGATGGGAACTTCCCCCTGGTGCTGCGAGCTTCCCCCCAGCAGTGCCCCCAGACAGGGACACGCCCCCCTTCACCCAGGAATGTGAACTTCCCCCCAGCAGTGCCCCTAGATGGGAACTTCCCCCTGGTGCTGCGAGCTTCCCCCCAGCAGTGCCCCCAGACAGGGACACGCCCCCCTTCACCCAGGAATGTGAACTTCCCCCCAGCAGTGCCCCTAGATGGGAACTTCCCCCTGGTGCTGCGAGCTTCCCCCCAGCAGTGCCCCCAGACAGGGACACGCCCCCCTTCACCCAGGAATGTGAACTTCCCCCCAGCAGTGCCCCTAGATGGGAACTTCCCCCTGGTGCTGCGAGCTTCCCCCCAGCAGTGCCCCCAGACAGGGACACGCCCCCCTTCACCCAGGAATGTGAACTTCCCCCCAGCAGTGCCCCTAGATGGGAACTTCCCCCTGGTGCTGCGAGCTTCCCCCCAGCAGTGCCCCCAGACAGGGACACGCCCCCCTTCACCCAGGAATGTGAACTTCCCCCCAACAGTGCCCCTAGACTGGAACTTCCCCCTGGTGCTGCGAGCTTCCCTCCAGCAGTGCCCCCAGACAGGGACACGCCCCCCTTCACCCAGGAATTTGAACTTCCTCCCAGCAGTGGCCCTAGATGGGAACGTCCCGCGTGGTGCTGCGAGCTTCCTCACAGCAGTGCCCGTGGGAGACGATGCCG